GATCCACAGCTTAAAATGGTCAATTTTAAACTGGCTAATTGGTGCCATTAAGTAACCAAACAATTAAACCCATGTGCACAACGGACAATTGGTGTCATTGTCACGTATGCGCATTCCCTTGTCTTTAGGCGCATTAGTTGTTCTGCCCTTAAGCAGGATGGAGTGACCCTTTCCATGTACAATTGCGACACGGTGTACCTGCCACCGTTTTGGCACGAAAACTTAGGAAGAGAGCTACTGGATCCAAACAAGCATCGGAAACTAGGAAGTTTCCTAACACCAAATCAGGCCTTTGCTCCATCTAGCTCAATATTGCCTGCTAATGAAGGAATGGGTGTTTCCCAAACCCAAAACTGACTGTGCAAAACTGACTGTTCTCTTTGACAGGCAGCAGCTCTCCAGGGTTTCAGATGATGCGAGTCTCTCCCAGCCCTACCGAGAGGTGCTGAGGTTTGAAGTGGGAACCTCCTGTGTACAAAGCAGATGGTCTGCCACTCAGTTATAGAAAACAATAGAAACATTACAACCAGAAATATTTCCAGTTTTTGTTTGCTTTTAATCAATTTGGACAAATACAGGCTCCAAAATGTTTCAGATTTAGAGTGCTCTGTACATCCAAGCTGTCAGCAAGTCTTTGAAGTACAAAACGAGGAGTGTCCTTCCCCCCCCTTAATTTTCTCTCTAGAAGACTGGGTTTTGCAGCAGTAACCTGCAGACCTTCAAAAGGAAGGCTGCATGTGATGGGGTTGGAGTTTAAATCAGTATACTGTATTTTTTGCTCCATAAGACGCACCTAGTTTTTGGAGGAGGATCTGATGGTGAATTTGGGGTGACCCAGTGCAAAAATCCTGAGGATCCATGTGGATCCGTGCTTTGTAACCACATTTTTGCACCATTGCAGCCCCAGGAAACAGTGGATGCGTGATTTTTTTGGTGCAGGCTGTAGCCATGGACATGCTATGTGATCTGATGGTGAATTTGGGGTGACTCAATGTAAAAATCCTGAGGATCCATGGGCTTTTACCTCCCTCTCCCAGGCAGCCTCCGCTAGCGTCCCTTATCTCTCTTCAGATCCCACCACTCCCTTCCCTCTTGTTTGCCTTAGTGTCTTTTCCTTAGCTGGAGCAGTTTTTTGCTCCTCCTTTTCTTCTAATTTCTCTCCTTATTGCTTTAGTCTTCCTGTCCCCCCCTCCTTTGCAAGTTTGCTATCTTTACCTCCCCCCTCCCAGGCAACCTCCTTTATCTCTAGAGTCCCTTATCTCTCTCCCCGCAAACGATCAGCAGCTTTGTTTCAACACTCACTTCCCTCTTTCAAAAAAAAAAAAAAAGAAAAGAAAAAAGAAAAGAAAAAAAGAGCATTATCTGCTTTTTGCCCCTAGGCAATTTGGCTCCAGGGACCACACATTCGCCGCATAAGATGCACAGACATTTCCCCTTACTTTTTAGGAAGAAAAAAAGTGCGTCTTATGGAGCAAAAAATACGGTATCTCTCTTTTAAATTGGTATATCTTTTCTGAAAAGTTAGAGAGTCCTTGGAACCGCCAACCCTGCAATTTTGTATGAGTCTCGGGGAAATAGCCATGTTGCACTTAGCCAACAACAGCCAAAGGCTTACTTTGCCTTAGCCAAATTCTACAAAGCCACATAACTGGATGGCACTATATCTTTGGTTATGCAAACTAAGTTGATATTATGGGAATAATCAAGGTGCACATGGTTCAAAATCTACATACTGGTGCTACTCATTCACCAAAGGAAACAGTCCTTTTCTCTGTTCACCCAATCACAGCTCTGGACAGAAGACAAGATGCATTGTGGTCTTTTCCTATGGTTAGCTTTTAAAGCTATAAAGGCCTGTCTGGGTTTTTTCTTTTGTTTCTGTTTTTGGATCAGAAAGGCAAGGCTAGGAAGGAAGTTGCCAATCAGACCACTGGGCATCCCTGGAGTTCCCAAACTTGGGTCTCCAGCTGTTTTTGGACTACAATTCCCATAATCCCTGACCTGCTAGCTAGGGGTGATGGGAGCTGTAGTCCAAAAACAGCTGGAGACCCAAGTTTGGGAAACACTGGTCTATACTTGCTCTCAGGATTTCAGACGGGGGTCTTTCCCAGCCTTTCCTGGAGATCCCCAGATTTTAACCTGGGACTTCTCCTAAAGGCTGTTTTTGGATGCCAACTCCCATCAGCCCAAGGCAGCAGAGCCCAATAGTCAGATGATGCAAGCTGTGGATCACCAGCTTCTCCAAAGATTCCCCATCTCTGGTATGAGCAGATAGCATTTGCTCTGAGCTCCACTCATAGACCCTCCTGGACCACCCCTACCTAGATTGACCTTTGACCCAGAGAACTCTTCCCCTGAGTACCACTTTTAATTTTTGGGTGACGTGGCCCCTTCCCAACAGAAGGGGCCATAGCATGGGAACATTGCATATGGAAAGTTCAAGAGTCAGCAGATACTTAGCAAAGTTCTCTCTTGAGACCCTGGAGAGCCACAGCCAATCAAAGCAAGTCAGCTGCTATGCCTGTCCGACCAATGGTCAGTCTCAGAAAACAGTGAAGCCATTGCAGTGGAGAGTGGGCGGAAGTGGGTTCAAATCCCCACTCAGCTATGAAGCTTGCTGTGTGACCTTGGTCCAGACATTATATCTCCACCTAAGCTACCTCACAAGGAGGTTGTGAGGGTTACATTGGGGCAGGAAGAGAACCATGGGCAATGCCTCTGTCACCTTGGAGGGAGAACAGTGTATCAATGTAATAAACTCAATATAATCCAGGTTCATATGTTTCCTACCTTAAGGGGCACCACTGGGCTGCATCCTAGCTCTGAAGGAAGACGCCATCTTGGAAGGCACAGCAATGTGTGTCCTAGATAGATGGTTTATATTATATACTCATCACCCCAGTTACCACTTCTCTTTTATCTGCTGTTTCTGAGTTCCTTCTTTCCTTAGATTTATTTTTGCTCGTTTCTTGACGCCTACATTACTTAAGGAAGGCTGCCAGCATTATTATTCCCTCCCTCTCCTTAAAAGCTGGGTGTGTTCTGGTGCTTTGGTGTTTTCTAGGAAATACAACATCTCACCTTTTGCCAGATGGAAATTCTGGGAATGCTCCCTCGTGTAACTTGCATCTTCAGAGTTCTGCTAAAAAATAAAACCTGAGCTGCCTCGTCTGGAACATCTCAAAACGCTTTAGGCACTTTCTGTGACCTGCTCTTATACTCCTCAGATTTTGGTTCTGGTGTTAAGTGGTTTGCCCATTTATTTATTCCAGTCTGCATTTGGCCATTATGACGGTGTTTGAGAACTGTCTTCTCTCCTGATGCATTTGAATGTTAAGTGTGTTTATTGCTATTTTCAATCTTGAGTTTTAATGTCTGTATTTTATGGAGGTGGTGTAGCCTACTTTAAAGGCACACTTTAGAACCATTCATTAATCAATTGTCATTATTATAATTAAGAATAATGAAAGTTCACCTTCTATAAACTTCATTTATAAATGTGGTGGAATAATAATAATAGTTATTGAGAATAATAATTTCCAAGTAACACTTTAAGGAGGAGACATTATAGGATTTCATTGTAAAACTCCTTGATAGCTATAGTGGCTCCTGCTGGTTGTGGTGTGCAGGATTCCAGTGAAAATGTCACAAAATAGTGAGCAAGCCTTTGAGTTTCTCCAGAGCTGTTAATCAGGCTAGAATGTTAAGGGAAAATGAGATGATGATAAACACAGGATGTCTGCAGATTGAAACATTCTTAAGGTGAATGCCGGATCGTTGGCATCGAAATGCCAATACATTTCCCCCCACCCTCTTTAATTTGGATTTCCCCTTTCACAGGACAATCAAATAAACAAAACAAAACAAAACAAACAAATTCAGCCCCAACTACAGTCGTACCTTGGAAGCCGAACACTTTGTCACTCGGACATTTTGACTCCCAAACACCGCAAACCCGGAAGCGAGTGTTCCAGTTTGTGAAGGTTCTTTTGGAACCCGAACGTGCGGTGTGGCTTCCGATTGGCTGCAGGAGCTTCATGTAGCCAATCAGAAGCCGCGCCTTGCTTTCTGAATGTTTTGGAAGTCAAACGAACTTCTGGAACAGATTCCGTTCGGCTTCCAAGGTACCACTATACTGCCAATTGTGGGATATGTAGTTGCTTTGCTTCTGTTTCCCAGTTATGTAGTTCAATAAAGGTTCGTGCTGTTATCACTGTGTTTTGCCTCATGGGAACTCACCTACACTTCAGGCCCTCTCTCGACCTAAACTGTCTTGCAGAGTTGTGGTGAGCATGAAATGAGGAAGAGAATCACCATCTACATCTGCTTGAGTTCCTTTGAGGAAAAGTAGGATATATAGTAAAGTAATAAATGTATGGGGGACGCGGGTGGCGCTGTGGGTAAAACCTCAGCGCCTAGGACTTGCCGATCGCATGGTTGGTGGTTCGAATCCCCGCGGCGGGGTGAGCTCCCATCTTTCGGCCCCAGCTCCTGCCCACCTAGCAGTTCGAAAGCACCCTTAAAGTGCAAGTAGATAAATAGGTACCGCTTTATAGCGGGAAGGTAAATGGCGTTCCGTGTGCTGCGCTGGTGCTGGCTCACCAGAGCAGCGATGTCACACTGGCCACATGACCCGGAAGTGTCTGTGGACGGCGCCGGCTCCCGGCCTCTAGAATGAGATGAGCGCACAACCCTAGAGTCTGACAAGACTGGCCCGTATGGGCAGGGGCACCTTTACCTTTACCTTTAGTAAATGTATAGGCCAGATATAAGTTCTCCAAACTTCTGTTCTGTAAAGCCTCTAGAGCTATATTTCAGTATGCTCTTCTTTTGTTTTTAGCAGGCTTGCATTTAAATGTGGCTTGATTGGTATCCTAAGTTCATTTCCTTTTGTGGCTTTAGCCATTCTTTTGCAGGGGGCGGGCGGCTGTGGAGGTTGAAAGGAGGTATAAATACAAAAATAAAGCTCTCCCCCCCCACTTCTCTCTCCTGATTGGCAGACCCCCAAAGGCACTTGTGCCGAATCTGTGAAAACCGCCATTGATGCAGGTTACCGCCACATTGACGGTGCTTTTGTGTATTACAACGAGCATGAAGTGGGACAGGCCATCCGGGAGAAGATCTCTGAAGGAAAGGTCAAGCGTGAAGACATCTTTTATTGTGGCAAGGTGAGAAATCCTAATTATTGGTGAGGGTGGGGAGTGTCAGGAACACATCTCGTTGGCCTTAACCTGCATTTTGTTTTCTTCAAGTCAAAGGTGAAATGTGGGAGGTTTTGGCAGGTAAGGAATCAAAGGAAAATTGTGTGCGGTGTAAGCAGCATTGGAAGGAGCTACAAGCCACACTCTCCAACCATCCTGAAATTCCTGGGACAGTCCCAAAAATCCTTTAGCCATCCCGGCTTCTCACGGTGTCACGGACAGTCCCGATCTCCTAAGAAAATCTCTCCTTGCTCTCTGTGCCATCATTAATTATTTGCTTGGCTAATGGGCTGGTGTCAAGGGTCATTTCTCACAAATGCTTTATATGTAGCTTCAAAAAGAATATATATATATATAAATTTACTGCCCTCAAGAAAGATATTGTAATGATATGAGAAGCCTTTCTTCAGATTCTGCTCTTCAGCAACTTAACGTCTTTGCCATTGGCCTTGACAAGTTTCCTCTTAAAATTTCCATATTGAAAATTACAATAATATAAAACAATATACGTAATAATAATAAAAAAATCCCAGTGCAATCAAAGATAATAGACCCACTTTGGATTTTAAAGAATCTCCTGGTCTCACTACACTAACCCTTTCCTCTTTTTTTGCTACACAGAATTTCCTTGCTGTTAAAGCACACAGAGCTGTTCCGTAGGTCACAGAAGAGTACACATTTCCTAATAAAAATACTAAGTTCTTGTTTGGAAGAGTTGGTTAATTGGTTAACAGCCTGCCCGCTGCTCCAAACCTTGAGGGGAAGGGCAGGCTGCTGGCAGAGCAGCACCCCCACCCCCATTCAGCAGCCCAGGAGTGTGGGGCATGGGCGCACAGCCTTCCCGTTGCTCCAAAGCTTCCCAGGGCTGCAGGGGGAAGCCGAGGCTGCCGGCAGACGAGCGCGGCTCCCCCACCCCCACCCCCCAAGAGCAGTCCAAGAGGGTGCCACACTCCGGCAATTTGGCTCCAGGGACCACACATTTGCTCCATAGGACGCACAGACATTTCCCCTTACTTTTTAAGAGTAAAAAAGTGCGTCCTATGGAGCAAAAAATATGGTATTTCCCAAGTACCTTTCCCTCAGCACATCATAGAAGAAGCATTTCAGCAAACAATGTTATGGTTCAAATTACATGTACAGGTGATGAGATTAGACAAATTCATGGAGGATAAGGCTATTCTATCTCTACAGTCAGAAACGGCATGGATACCTGTTAAGCCATTGGGATGTCCTAGCTCCTGCCCCCAAAACATACAAGCAGAGGCTCTTACTTGTAAGTAAGATAGAGATATTTCTTAGGGCAAATAATGATACAGATTCAGGAGCAGACAAGAGGCTTAGAAGTCATGATTCAAGAATTCAAGAGCAGGGCAAGAGGTTCAGAACTGGACAGAAGCAACAGAGATGTCCCAACAACTTGACACACCCCATCTGCCAAGCTTTTAAAGACAAGGTGTAGCATGCTCACCTGCGACACTTGCTCACCGTGGGGGAATGTTGAGACTACCATTTATAGTTTTGTACACATGTAACATAGAGGCTTCAACATATGCACACACTTTCATCCTCCATCTATTTATTATTATTATTAAATTTGTATACTGCCCTTCATCCATAGATTTCAGAGTGGTTCACAACAAAAAAATTACAATATAAAAAAATAATATGTAAGCAAGAGGCATGATCACAGTTCAATGACATATTACAGCCATGCAAATGCACTCAGGTAGGGCACAGAAGAAGGGGAAGAAATGGAGGCATTGAGAGATTTTACTTGCTTGGGCTCCATGATCACTGCAGGTGGTGACAGCAGTCGTGAAATTAAAAGACGCCTGCTTCTTGGGAGAAAAGCAATGACAAACCTAGACAGCATCTTAAAAAGCAGAGACATCACCTTGCCAACAAAGGTCTGAATAGTTAAAGCTATGGTTTTCCCAGTAGTGATGTATGGAAGTGAGAGCTAGACCATAGAGAAGGCTGATCGCCGAAGAATTGATGCTTTTGAATTATGGTGCTGGAGGAGACTCTTGAGAGTCTCATGGACTGCAAGAATATCAAACCTATCCATTCTTAAGGAAATCAGCCCTGAGTGCTCACTGGAAGGACAGATCCTGAAGCTGAGGCTCCAGTACTTTGGCCACCTCATGAGAAGAGAAGACTCCCTGGAAAAGACCCTGATGTTGGGAAAGATTGAGGGCACAAGGAGAAGGGGACGACAGAGGATGAGATGGTTGGACAGTGTTCTCGAAGCTACCAGCATGATTTTGACCAAACTGTGGGAGGCAGTGGAAGACAGGAGTGCCTGGCGTGCTCTGGTCCATGGGGTCACGAAGAGTCGGACACGACTAAATAACAGGGCACAGAACAGGGGCAGTGAGGAGCATGGCATGGGAACAGCCCCCAGGCCCAGAGAGAGAGGCATGGAGGGCTACATTTGGACCCCAAGCCTAACATTTTCGATTTCTTATTTAAGGCCAACTCCACAAGGTCCTCTAGCAAAAAGACCCTGTGTGGCTGAACAGTGAAAGGCAGAGGTTTTCAACCTTTTTGAGTCCACAGTTCCCTTAACCAACCACATTCTTTCTGTGGCACCCCTGTGGGGCTCAGGAGCCCAGTTATGTCACCCCTTCCCTGCAGAGCTGGCAGCCTCTCACCCTTTTTCGAACACCCTCCCTTGTGGAGTGTTCTCTCAACCTCCTCTCCTCTTCCCTCTCCTTGGGAGTCCTCCAGGCAGCTACTGCTGCCATCCCCAGTCTCTGAGCTGACCCCTATGCCCCAAAGAGAGGTGCCTCTCAGAGGACCATTCGCCTGTGGAGCTTATAGCCAGGGATGCTGCAATAAACAGCTGTACAAGCCTTTGGGAGGCAGAGACACAAGAAGAAGAGAAGAGAAGAAGAGTTTTGGATTTGATATCCCGCTTTATCACTACCCAAAGGAGTCTCAAAGCGGCTAACATTCTCCTTTCCCTTCCTCCCCCACAACAAACACTCTGTGAGGTGAGTGGGGCTGAGAGACTTCAGAGAAGTGTGACTGGCCCAAGGTCACCCAACAGCTGTATGTGGAGGAGTGGGGAAGTGAACCCGGTTCACCAGATTACGAGTCCACCGCTCTTAACCACTACACCACACTGGCTCTCCTACAAGCCTACTGCTATCTAAATAGAACTGTTTGGTTTTCTGTATTCTTGCCAGTGTATCATAAACAAAGATGTTGCAAAAGTGCCATTTCCTCTGTTGCACATCTGTCCTTCCCTCACCCCTTTGCCTAACCCAGCAATGTTTTTGAATGTTTCCTGGCTCTCTCTTACAAGCTCACCATTAGTTATGCACCAGGTTGTGCCCAATCATCCATCTGGATGGGAAGCAAAAAACGACTGGATGGGAGGGAAAAGGGACAGAGGCCGGTGTTGCCTGTGGTACCCCTGGCCATCATTCAAGGTACCCCAGGCTTCCACGGCACACTGGTTGAAAACCACTGGTTAAGAGCATTGCTAAAGCCTTGTCTCTATTATCTCCACTGCTGTTTACTAACCTAAAGGGAATATTCCAGCTGTTCCTGTTTCATGCTACTTTTTATTTTTTAAATTCAGAGCCATGACAATGCAGTTTGGGCGGCGAGCTGCAGAGTAGGAAAAGGGGGGTGGGGAGACTCCCTAAGAATCCCAAGGACTTCTGAAATTGAAGAATGGTTGGTATAAATGTGGTTCCAATTACCCTTGAGACTGCCCCATTAAGCAGCTGGCTTTCAGGGAGGGAAGGGCTGAAAATAAAAGCCAGAATCCCTTAGGCTGAGGCTCCATCTCTGAAGCTGCTAATTGATCTGTGCCGGACTGCAGGAAATGGCTAATTTCTTGTGTCTAAGTCTTGATTTTTATATTTTTGAAAAGGAAGAGGAGGCCGCTGAAATCTAGACAGCAATCTTTAAGCCCTAATCTCCAGTCAAGTAAACCTCTTGAATGAGGGAGAAGTTGGTCTCAAAGCCACCGATGAAGTGTTATTTCACAAATCCTGAGTGGCTGGTTGGTGCCTAATGAGAAAGAGAGAGCTATAGAATTCCTAACATGAGAAAATGGTCAAAAACTGTCCAAGTCACAATGTGGCTACATTTTTACATGACCGTGTGGTTGTAATGGTCAGAGAGCTGGACTAGGAGACCAGGGTTCAAATCTCCACTCAGCCATGAAGCACGCAGGAATGACCTTGGGCTAGTCACTGTCTCTGAGCCTACCTCAAAGGGTTGTTGTGAGATTAAAATCGGAAGCAGAGAAGAACAGTGTATGCAGCCTTGAGCTCCTTAGAGGAAAGGTGGGATAGAAATGTCATAATAAATAACAATAAATAGATGATAAGAAGCATGACATTCAAATAGGGCATCCAGATCGACCGCTGGGTCCACCTAGTGCTGCTAGCCAGCTTGGAGAAACAAATCTTGCATATTCTTCACACTGGTAACATTGCCTTAGTTCATCTGAGACCTTGCAGACCAGGCATAGGCAAACTCGGCACTCCAGATATTTTGAGACTACAATTCCCATCATCCCTGGTCACTGGTCCTGTTAGCTAGGGATGATGGGAGTTGTAGTCCCAAAACATCTGGAGGGCCGAGTTTGCCTATGCCTGTTGCAGACCATTCTGCTTGCCAGATTCCAAAATCTAGACACAGAGAGAGATTTCTGCCCTAAAGAAATACATTGGGCCGTAACCCATGAGGCACAGTTCTTGATGAAAATTTGCTTTCATTCTGCTCCATAGATACTGTGGGGAATTTTCCTTAAGATACCATTGGCTACGCCCACAAGATACATTAAAAAACCCCACCTTATATCATCTCAGCATTCATGGAGAATCCTGGGAACTGAAATTTGTTAAAGGTGCTGGAAATTTTAGCTCTGTGAGTTCAGCGCTCTATAGTTTGTTAAGTCAGAAAGTGGCATAAGAGTGCTTTAAATGCATTGTGTGGATGTGGAAAGGGATATATTAAGTTGCTGATTATTGGTCTAATACAGTGGAACCTTGGTTCTTGAACTTAATCTGTTCGACTCCCGAAACGTTAGAAAACCAAGGCATGGCTTCTGATTAGCGCAGGCACCCCGGAAACAATAGCCGACAGCTGCATCGGACGTTCAGCTTCTGGAAGATGTTCGAAAATCGGATCACTTACTTCCAGGTTTTTGGCATTTGGGAGCCGATTTGTTTGTCAACTGAGCCATTCGAAAACCAAGGTTCCACTGTACACTCTATTATAAGTGACAGGTGTGTTGGTTTGTTGGAATATTTCTAGATAATATGATTGTTCCTTTTCCTTCTGCATAATTACGATTGTTACCATCTATTTATGGAAGCGTTTTGTCTAAAATTCTTAGGTTTTGATGATAAGCAGTACAAAGGACACTTTGATAATCCAGTTCTAACTATCTTTACTCAAAACAGCTAGATCTCTGAAATCAGTAGAAGTTCTACAGCAGCTTTCGACAATGCCTTGCCCTCCAGAAGGTTTGGACTTCAGCTCCCATCACCCTCACTCAATTGAGCCAGTGGCTGAGGATGAAGGGAGTTGTAGTCCAACAACATCTGCAGTCTGCCAGCTTGAAGAAGGTTGAGCTGAAGTTTGGCAACTGACTCATCAGAAATTATTCCAAACTCGCAAGTGCCAGGATAATTGTGCACAATCAAAAATTATTTGCTGGCTGAAAGCAGCAGCATCTGTATTCTGGCACAGTTCTCAAAGCAAAGCATTTTTATTTTATTTATTTATTTTATTTTATTTTATTTTATTGCATGCAAATAACTTGAAGGTCCAACCCCCACCTCACCCCTGATTTCCCTACACTGCCAGAAATTTTGGTTGTTTGGCTGCTCCTCCCCACCCCCATCCCAATAGTTCTTCTATTTCATTAAGTTGAAAGCAATGTTTGCAGAGAAAGTGATGTCCTGGGACAAAAGAATAATTTGGCAGCTTCCTGGTGCTCTCTCTTATTGACACATGACTGCTATGTACACTGAGAAGATCCTCTTGAACACAAATAGTAAAAAAAGAGTTGGGAAGAGAGAAGACCCATGATGAAACAAGAAGCTAATATTTACAATGCAAAGAATAACCCAGCGTTCATAGCCTTTCCTAGAAAGGGTTTTTGTTTTTGTTTTCTGGAGCTGCTTGCCATGAAAATGATCAAATGAAGCCAAGAACTGGGTCCTATTCCTGCAGCAGAACCGTATACATAACTCCTCAGAAGTAAGCCTCGTTTAGTTAGGTGGGATTTACTCTCAGGTAACTGGGTGTAGGATTGCAGCATTACAGTTTACTTCTGTTGAAGTGGCTGCTTCTGGACTGCCATGCAAGAAGAACAAAGAGTTTTGTGGCACCACAAAGGCTAACAATTTATTATGGCAAACACTTTCGTGACCTAAAATTCCTTTTGTTAGATACATCAGTGTTGGGGTTTAGTTTGGCCCAGCAGGTCTAATTTTGGCTGTGAGGCAATTATCTCCAGAGCTGTCCCTTCATATATGAGATCACGCAGATAAAGTCATGGGTTCAAAGGAACAATCAGGATACTTAATGTGTGGTCTCCAATTGGGAACTCCCAAGTGCAGCCAATCCTTGCCAAGACAGGAAGTCACCATGACATTAAGCCATCTTTCAGCAGGGATCCTGAGCTCAAGCAAAGGAAAAATGGATCATCTGACATCAAGCACTCCTTACTGCTGTTGCAATTATTGTTCATGGAAAATTCCATACCCTCTGAAAGAACAGTTTTTGTTGTAACCTTGCTATTTATAATGGTTCTCCAAGTGTATCTGCCTGTGGTTAACTTCGGTCAACATGCTCTTGCAATGCCATTTTTTCTTCGTTTCAGCATTTAGCTTGCGGTGAAGGTTCTATCACATTTATTTATGTTTTCTTCCTCTTCTCCCTCAAGCTGTGGAACACATGCCATCCACCAGAGCTGGTGCGTCCAACTCTGGAGAAGACATTGAAGATCTTGCAGCTTGACTACGTTGATCTCTACATTATTGAGCTGCCGATGGCTTTTAAGGTAAAGAGAAAAGTTGTGTTAGAGCTCCTCCTAGTGTGTTAGTGTGTTCCAGTCTGAACTAGGAAGAATACCTGGAGTAAACTTCACATTTACAGGTAGAGAGGCCACTGACTCACCACCCAGAATGCATCTCTCTCTCTCTCTCTCTCTCTCTCTCTCTCTCTCTCTCTCACACACACACACACACACACACACACACACACACACACAGAGGCAGATTTGCATATAGGGTAAGTTGCACACACTAATTTATAAAAACATAAATTTGCCATGAATTTTTTAATTTGCCAAGCAAAGCGAGACCTTTGGTTTAACGACTTGCTCGTTCAACATTCTGTCTGTAGTGTTGGCAAGCAAGGACTGGAGAACATACAGCTTTTGTGTGGAATATGCATTCCTTGCAAACACACAAGCAGGGTATGAGGGGAGGCAAACAGGAATTCCTTTAGGCAGATCATTCTTTCATGTTTGTACCCTCAGATCTTGACAACTCCGTGGAATTTTTTTCAGTCCTTTCCCTCTCCTCCCGCAAATCCCACAACGCTCCAACAGTCATTTCAAAGGGCCGCGCTACACATTACTAAATTCACTCTTTTTAAAAAGCAGGCTTCATGCTGACACTTTTCTTTTCATGGAAAATCCCAGTTCAATGCCATACACCCAGTGCAGATCAGTGTGTGTGTGTGTGTGTGTGTGTGTGTGTGTGTGTGTTGGTTTCCTGCTGAAAAACAACTCTCTGGCTGCTATGTAGTAAACAGCACCTATGGGGACACATAGCCAGGTATATGTGTATAGGTGGGATAACAGAGAAACCAGCATGCTTGTACATGGGTTCAGAGTAATGTGTGAATGAGCATAGAGGGAAAGGCATGCAGGCATCGGCTGCTGGCCAGAAAAAGGATATTGCTGTTATTATTGTTATTTTGTGTGTGTGTTGTTTTAATGTATTGTATTGTAAATTGCTTTGGATATAATTTTGATCAAAAGGCAGAGTGTAACTTGTTAAAATAAATCAGACGTCACTTGAAGCCCAAGCCCCTTCTTGGGAATCAAGGAAGCAAACTTGCAAAAGGCAGTTTGTTTTGTAATGTGAGATCTCTGAAGACCACTGGAATTTCAGAATGAAATTTGGTACATGTGTTCAAGCAATGGGGATACATTTCAGCTTCAGATGACAAAGTTCAACCTCCATGTCCATTTTCTGTTAACCTAAGTACACATTTCTTCTTATATGTGCTTTCTTTCCAATTGAATCACTTACCACCTTCTTCTACACATATCTTTCTATCTTTCCAAGAAGTCCCAAGGTAACCACTGCCTCTCCCCTGGAAAGTAAAAAACAGAATACTTATGGATTGTGGATTTCTCTTCCACAAACATATTTGTGTGTGTGTTTTTCCCCTCAGCCTGGAGAGCGCATCTACCCAAAAGATGAAAATGGGAAATGGATGTACCATGAGACAGACCTATGTGCCACTTGGGAGGTGAGTAGATCTGAAGCTGCTGTGGAACAATCATCTTTGTATCTCCTAAAGCCAGGTGTGGGCAGACTTCACGCCCCTTCCTCTGTCAGAGATCCTGGCCAGCTTACCTGGTTACCTTTATCTTCATTTTTCTGGCCTGAGGCTGCTGAACAATGTTAAGTAGGTCTGGATTTTGACACTGCTCTACTTCCTCACAGTGCTCCCAAGCTAGCTTTGCTTTGGAGAATTGTGGCTCCATGAAGACTACCCCAGATAGGGCCTTATTTTCCCCCTCTCATCTGACCTTCCCATCAACACTCTATCTCACTTTTCTGCCTATTAGTTTTTTCCTTCTTCCTTTCCCCCTTTCCCCCTTCTGCTGTGGAGATAAATCACTTCCTTGTCTTTCCTTATTTAAGTTCTTGAACAAAGGCTATTTCTTCAGCAAAGTCTGCCCCCTCCAGAAGCTTCTTGGCCTTCTCCTGTCCTCCTCTACATCCTGGCTCTTTCCTCACTTAGTTGCTACTGAGTCCCCTCCCTCCTTCCCTCCCTCCTTGGGGAATTGCTATAAATCTTCTACTCGGCTGCCTTTCCACCTTTTTGCCTGTTTTATTCCGACAGGCTTTGGAAGCATGTAAAGACGCAGGGCTAATGAAGTCCATTGGGGTGTCCAACTTCAACCGTAGGCAGCTGGAGATGATCCTCAACAAACCAGGACTCAAGCACAAGCCTGTCAGCAACCAGGTAATGGTGACGTGCAAAGTGAGGCAGTGACATGAGCATGCATCTTGTTGCTTTCACATCATCTGACATGCACTGTATGCGTTTGGCATTTGGGTGACGTATCAGAGTACCAAAGCATCTTGTATGGACCATTCTTACGATCTTGTAGCTGACGGCTGTGCTCTGCTTCCAGAGTCAGAGGCAGTAATGCTCCTGAATACCAGCTGCTGCAAACCAGAGGAGGAGAGTGCGCTCTTATGCTCAGGTCCTGCTTGCGGGTTTCCCACAGGCATCTGGTTGGGCATTGTGAGAACAGGCGGCTGGACCAGATGGGCCAATAGCCTGGTCCAGCAGGCTCTTCGTATGGTCTTATGCTGAGGGAACTACCCAGTGGGTAGCCATTCATGGCTTCAGATGGCTTAGTGTATGAGTGGTTAAGCAATTTCAGACATGGGACATAACGATCTTAAACCTGCCCCACTCCAGATCATAAGATGCAAGGCCAGTATCAGATTGTTGTGGGGCCCTTTGGGCAACAAGAGTAGCATTGGGCTCACGTTCAGCACCTCTCCTTCCTCCTATAATCACACCCCCCACCAAAAAAACCCCCTAAAATACATCTTACCCAAGACCTCTTCCCCCTCTCTCACAAATGCACTCATGTCTCTTCTTCCACTCATCTTTCTCTACCTAAATATGTTGCATGTCTTATCCAATTCTACAATTATATGACTCTATGAGAGCCCACCTAGTATAGCATCTGGTTCTCACAATCAGATCCCTATGAGAAGCTCACAAATAGGATCTGAATGTGGCAGCCTTCAGCCCACCTTTGATTCCCACTTGAGGCATGGTAGACCTTCATTCATTCAGACACCCTTGCTTATTTTTCTCTCCCCACCCCCACTCATTTCATCCCACATCCATATCACACAAATCATACACCTCCAGTCCTCTCTGTCCCCCCTCCCCACAAACCAGGTATTCTCCAACTTGTCCCTATATTCATCAGTGAAAATATTTGACATGCCATTACAATAATAAGGATAACATGATCACTGATCTTGTGAATTGCCATCAGCTCTTTGGAAAAGGTCAGAGAAAGGAAAGAGGCTAGAAGGATGATCATAATGTTTAAATCTCAGTTCATTTTCCATGGACTCATAAACTGCAGTGACACTTAGCCTAATCTGTCTGTTTTGAGTACAAGAACACAATATCTTTATGTGGGAGAAAGAAGTGAGAAGAGCAACTACTTGGAAACTGCATGAAGGGAGAAAATAAGAGCTAAAAGACCTGAATTGGCTGGCACAAGAGTGAAGACTGCAGGAAGCAACAGGTCTATGTGTCAATCAGCCGGTCTCTAGGACAGGGGTGGCTAACCTGAGGGCTGCACTCAAGGTTGGTCAATCCACCAAGTGCCACATGTCAACAGTGGTCATAGCCAATCATGGATGAACTTCCCCAACCACACGTTTACCACTGTGTATACAAACTCACCCAGCCAACGTACCGAGAGTCACTGTGACCAGGTGACCTGCTCAGTTTGCCTCTGAGGTGCTCCCTATGAGTGGGCAACTTCCAGGCCCATCCTGTTCTCCCTTCTTAGGGATCTTTTTCTTTAAACTGGACTTGGAGAGCCCTCTAAACAGAAGACACCTTAAAATGGAGGACTGTAAATCATTGCAGCCCACTCCTCTGTACATTTGGCTCCATTTCTTGTTGAATAAGAACTGTACATGAGACATTCTGGAGCTACAAAAGCTGTGTCATCAAAAAAAGCAGATTGTGGGTCTGATTATAAAAGAATAATCTAGGAGACAATGGATTTCTGAGCACTCTGCACTTTTTTGACAAAACCCACTGAGAGAATGAGAGAGAGGGCTGGAACACAGTTTTCTTGGCAACTGGATGAGGTCAGTGTGTTCCACCAACATAAGCTTACAGTTGAATAAGCTAGCCTTATTGAAGCCTTTTCTCATCCCCACTTCCAGAGGCTCCAGTTTGAGCAAAGGAGGATTTGCATGGGCTAGAAGCCGTGCTTTACTGGGACCAGCCTTGCAATAAACTTCACAAACAATAAATCAGTCCTGGGATAAATTGGGACTGCTCCATGGAATAGATACTTTTAAATCTATGAAACATTGGCCCATGTAGATGGTTCCCAGGGTCAACAAAAGTTTGCAGAACCCTGAGAGAAGCCAGTTTTCTCCTTCCTTTCTTAGAATTTTATCCCCAAACCTTTCACAGCTTTATAATGGGACTGTATTTGTGGCAAAGATATAGAGCAGGGATTGGGGACCTCTGACCCTCCAGATGTTGTGGGACTACAACTCCCATCATCCCTGATGGGTGGTCATGCTTGTTGGCCATTATGACCATTGATTGGGGATGATGGGAGTTGTAGCCCCACAACACCTGGAGGGCCAGAGGTTCCCCATCCTTGCTATAGCAGGATGGCTTCATGGTGTATGATGTATGGTGTATGAAGAGTTTAGTTATCCAAGCAGGTTGAGGGGAGGAGGACCTAAGTGTTTCCCCTCCAGCAGTTTTTCCACTGGGTCATTAACCCAGCCTTCTGCATTCTGTCTCTGCAGATTGAATGCCACCCGTATTTCACCCAGCCCAAACTTTTAGAATTTTGCAAACAACATGACATTGTCCTTGTCGGATACAGCCCTCTAGGAACATCAAGAGATGAAAGCTGGTGAGTGAGATGTTGTGTTTAGGAATATTAGAGCAGGGGTGGGGGACTTGTAGACCTTGTAGACCTCCAGATGTGGTTGGATTCCAACCTCCATCAGACCCGGCCACCATGATCGGTGGTCAGGGATGATGGGAATTGTTGCTGGAGACAACTTCACCCTCTTTCCTCTGCTGCAGGGTCACATTGTTCTCTTGCTGCTCCATCTGTTGCTAAATTGGTTTGAAATCTGTTAGCATGGTCCTCAACTGGTCCAAAGATCACCGGTATGCTACTCTCACACTGCCTGCATAGGCAAGGCACCCAGTTTAAAAATCAGCTGTATTGCACCCATATTGCTTGCGGATGCCTTCAGCAGGGCGGTTTTCAAAACCGGATAACAACTTGATTTGGTCTTGCTTCAGTCCCTTCACACCCCCATTCGTAGTTCTTCTTCTGCCACCAGACTGCCATGTAAGGCAAATCTAGGCTGATTTCCTTTCCCTTTCTACAACAAGGGTGAATGTGTCTTCCCCTCCGCTGCTGGAGGACCCTGTGTTAAAGGCCATTGGAGAAAAATACAACAAGACGGCGGCCCAAGTGGCGCTCCGCTTCAATATCCAGCGAGGGGTGGTGGTCATCCCTAAGAGCTTCACCGCAGAGCGCATTAGAGAGAACTTCCAGGTAAGCTTTCAAAAGAGCCTGCTCTGTGTGGCAAAGCACCTGCTGTTCTTTCTCCCCACCTCACTAGAAGGTAGCAAAGCCCACTAGCCTTGCAACCTCCGAAAGGGTCTTTGACAACAAGGCAGAAATAGCACTCCATGTCTGCAGTCTTCAACCCGTTCAATTCTTCCCCCCCCCCATTTTTTAAAAACAACTTCCACCGTTACAAAAACAAAACCAATACCGTATTTTTCGCTCCATAAGACGCACTTTCCCCCTCCTAAAAAGTAATGGGCAATGTGTGTGCGTCTTATGGAGCGAATGCAGGCGGGAGGCTCTGCTCAGCGCTCCCTTTAAAGAGCCGTGTGGAGCATGTGTGCGGCTCTTGGGGGCTTATCCCCGAGGAGGGAGAAGGGCAGCCCGTCAGTCCCTTCTCCCTCCTTGGGGAAAAGTCCCCAAGAGCTGCAAACACGCTTCACGCGGCTCTTTAAAGGGAGTGCTGAGCAGAGCCTGGGATGCATACAAGCTCTGCTCAGCGCTCCCTCTAAAGAATCCCCCCATCCCCCCTCTAAAAACTAGGTGTGTTTTATGGCCAGGTGCGTCTTATGGAGCGAAAAATACAGTGCATTAATTGTCAGCTTCCGTCATCTTCAACTTTTTCAAACCAGGGACCCGCCATGTGCTTGGGACCCACTTTCAATTTTTTTTTTAACCTTATATTTATGTGATGATAGTATTGCCATTGGCATTTAATCTTGGCCAAGGATGCAACCCAGCAGTGGATCTTAGCCCACTTCTTGAAGACCAGCAAACACTGGAGGGACCACAGATGGATTTTCTCCTTTGGGTAATTCTCCTTCTGTTCTGGGGAACTCCATAATGCCTTCTTCCACATGCTGCAGCCCTTGGTGGAGTCGTACCTGCCTTTATTCCAAAATGATAAGGATCTGATGATCTGAATCTACAGCAAGCCCACCACTCTGGCATAGGGAACAGAGTGGTTGGCTTGCTGTAGATTCAGATCTTTTCTTGGGATTGAAGCTCACTGGCTGAAATCTGGTCAGTCACAAACTTGCAGGCTAACCTACCTTGCAGCGTAGTTGTGAACTGGACTAGATGATCCCCATGCAAGTCATCAAATACCGAGTGCCCATGCATGAATTTGTCCTCCATTCTGGTTATTTAAGCAATTTACCTTATACTGAATCAGACCATTGGCTCACCTGAATCAGTATTGTCTGCATTGACTGGAAGCGCCTCTCCAGGATTTAAGGCATTCCCAGCCATACCTGGAGATGCTGGGGATTGAACCTGGAACCTTCTGCACGCAAAGCAGATGCTCTGCCACTGAGCTATGGCCCTTATGGCTGCTCTCATTCCACCACAAACTTTACTATCATGTGCTGCTCATGTGATCCTTTTGCAGGGGCTGTGAGAATGAGGGTGTGCCTGCTGTCCAGCATCCATCGCCTTTTAGGCTAGAGGAGAGGTTAAGGGCACAGCTCTCAATTTAAAGCCCTGGGTCTGAGCACCCTTTGTTTTGCTCCACAAAAACACGCTCTCTAAAGCTCAATCAGAGCAAACATCAATCTGCAGAAAATCCAAATTGGCAGATATGGAGCGCTAAAGTCCGGAACGAGCAGGACAAAAGGTCAGTGTGGACAAGCCCACACTTAAGACACAGGCTTAGCCATCAGTTGCATAAATGTTTCTCTCTCTCTCTCTCTTTTGCCAAGATCTTTGATTTTTCCCTTACTGACAAAGAAATGAAAGAGATTGAAGCACTGAACAAAAATATCCGCTACGTGGAGATGTTAATGTAAGTATAAATCTAGATATGCAGCATGTAGACGCATGAGTTGTACTGATGTGATAACCACAGCTTAACTGTGGGCTGGGGCCTTTCCTGATGTTTTCAGTGCAGGACCCAAAAATCCACTCTACGGAAGGAGGGAGGGCCTTTTTGGCTTTGGGTAAGATTTTCCCTTTGATAGGCTGCTTCTCACACATGCATGACTTCCACTCTCTCTCTCTCTCAGTCCCTGCAAAGGTGGTTTTAGGGTGCTGCACTCCAGGAGGCGCCAAAACATTCTGCAGAATGAAGGATTTTGCATTGCACAAGGCGCCACTGAAAGTTGACGGCCCCTGGTCCTAGAAACATCAACCAATTGCTTTGGATTCTTACAGGAATGTGTTCCCTATAACCCAGGGATGGGGCACCTGCTACCTTCCAGGTGTCTTGGACTCCCAATTGTCATCAGCCCTATTCAACATGGCCCATTGCGGGATGATGGGAGTTGTAGTCCAGCAACTTCTGGTAGGACTTAGGTTCCCCACCCTGCCATAAACCATTCACCAGACAGTGCTGGTAGCTCAGCTCCTTTATGCTCTTAGGTCCGTCCAGACTAGCTGCAGCTGATCTGTCTTCTTCATTACATGGATTGGGAGCTCTTAAGTCAAAGCATTGTCCTCCTGCACAAGACAATGTGCTTCCTTGCCTTAAGTAAGCTGGGGACCACAGCTATGCTCCAGTTTGCTGGCAGGTTCCTAACATGGCCATTCTGTTGATCCTGAAACATGAGAACGTCCTCCATGTGTTCTAGGAAATGTGGAAAGTTGGTCACTTGCAATGCAGCTTTAGGAGCCCGTGGTATTGTATTACATTTGGCTAGCTCTTGCCCAAGGACTTGCACGACTGAAGTCTGCAGCGAAACAGCCTTGGCAAAACAAATGCACCAGTAGATGCCAGCTTTAACATCATCACTCCCAAGACTCCTGGAAGCCAGTCAGGACATTAATGTCCCCTTACATAACCAAACCGAACTCATCCAGGTTTGAGTCCCAGCAGTTCAATTAGAGGGTGCAGCCAGCTTTGAATGGGTTGCCTGCCAGTTCATAGTGGAGGAGGGAGAAAGAGGCAACAGAAATGAGAGCCAGATAAGTTTATCCTTTGCCGGCTCAAGGAGTTGGGATACATGCAGGGTTTGGCTACACTTTGTACCACATATAGTCAGGGAATCATTAGTGAAAATCAGAGGTTTAATCTTAATAACCCAAACTGACCCATGTTTTCTCCAAAAGCCAAGCACTTGCGCTTATCAAGACACAATCTTTGAATCTGAGAGGGCTTTTTAAGTAAGGTCATCTTTTTACATATGAATACTTACTCTAATGGATCCTTCATATTGCTGGAGGCCTGTTTGTACCAAGTTTTAAAGCATACATATTAAGCACAGATCACCTTTTCTGTTCAAAATGGTGTATTTAGTTCTGTGTGGGGACTTCTTTCTGGAGGCAACAATTGCCATACTCTAGGGATTTGAAAATGTTCTCCACCTACCTTCCAGTTAAAAGAAAACATTCCAGACTGCTTGCAACTAGGGTTGCCACCTTTAGTCAGCCAAAATAAGGGACAAGTCCCACACTTTCCCTTAAAATAAGGAACCACCCCTTATTATAAAGGACAGGTGGCAGCCCTACTTGCAATACTTGAATAACCCTTGAAATACAGTGGTACCTCGCGTTACATATGCTTCAGGTTACAGACTCCGCAAACCCAGAAATAGTACCTCAGGTTAAGAACTTTGTTTCAGGATGAGAACAGAAATCGCGCGGCAGCGGGAGGCCCCATTAGCTCTGGTTAAGAACCGTTTCAGGTTAAGAACGGACCTCCGGAACAAATTAAGTTCTTAACCCGAGGTACCACTGTACATAAAATATGATCACTTCAGATGTTTTGGACGACAGCTCCCACAATACTCTACCACAGACCACAGCTGTGACTGATGGGAGTTGCCACTCAAAACATCTGAAAAGGTCATCTATTACCCCTTCAGTAGATCATACCAATAGCAAGCCTGAGGTCAAGGTGGAGGGATGTTGCTGTTGTGGTTATTTATGGTGTTAGCTGCCACTATTAACTGTGACTTCAATTTGTTTCAGGTGGCAGGACCATCCAGAGTATCCTTTTCACGATGAATACTGAAAATGGTGCATCCACTACCGTGTGCTTGGTTTTAGTGATCTTTGTTCCTTGTTATCTTTTAGCTTTGAATTTAGTAACAGCATCATTGTAATCTTTCTGCAAGTCCCTCGATTTCTCCTATGCCAACCCTCCACAATTTGTCCAAAACAAATGTGGACAACCAGGCCCACCAAGAAGAGTAGTTTCAAGTCAGTGTTCAACTGCCACTATTATTGCGATGGAGGAGAGCCAAGGTGTTGTGGTTTTTGTTTCATATAAGACGGAGGATCTCTCTTTGACTTGCTGTCTCAAATTTTTGTCTTGTGTAACAAACATTAAAGAACATTTTCGATTAAATCTCTGATGAACTTGAACAGTTGGATGCAAGGTTAGGAAACATAGTATGATGGTGGCAATCATTCAAAGCAAAACTGGATGTGAAATTTGGAGTAGCTTACTTATAAAAAAAAGTAATCTTCTAGATCAGAATGTTCCTTCATTGTATGTTTTTTTGGCACTTGTGCCCATCTTATGTGAATATAAAAGGACTTATGGACCAAAGCCACCTTTGGCTACACTTTAGAGCAGGGCTGGGGGACCAATGGGCCTCCAGTCACTTCTGAACTACAACTCTCATCATTCTTGACCACTGGTCCTGCTAGCTAGGGATGATGGGAGTTGTAGTCAAAAAACAGCTGGAGACCCAAGTTTGGGAAACTCTGGGTTATGCAGTCTGGAGCTGATGGGAATTGTCATAATAATAATAATAATAATAATAATAATAATAATAATAATAATAATAATAATTTATTATTTATACCCCACCCATCTGGCTGGGCTTCCCCAGCCACTCTGGGTGGCTTCCAAAAGAATATTAAAATACTGTGATACATCAAACATTAAAAGCTTCCCTAAACAGGGCTGCCAATGACATTTGAAGGGCCACAATTTTCCCACTCCTGCTTTAGAGTGAAGGCAATGGTCAATTATACAAGCGGTCAGGGGTGGTGCCAGATGGGTGTGGTCAGCATGGGGCCCTCAAAAACCTTTCAGCTCCAGTAACCTTTAAGCAATGCCAACAATCCAGCTAAGAATATGGGTTGTTCAATTGTAACACGTAACATTTTTAATATGCAGAAGTAAAATAAGTCACAGTAGCCTTTTAAATAAGAAATTGTTAAAGTTTTAGATATATAAAAAAGGATTTCAAGTCCATGTTAGGAGGAGGAGAGGAAGATTGCTGCCCTTTACATGACCACACAATGGGACACTGGCTGATACTCAAATATGTACGCTGGGTAAATCTGATACTTCTCAAAGATGACAAAAATAGAAGGATCAAGAACGTTGTCCACACAGCTATCATAAAAGTTGTTCGATTGGTTAGATCTCGATGGAGGGCGGAGGTAAGCAGGATTTCCTTGAACATAATCTCCAACCAGAACTTTAGCTACAAACATGCTCCTGATGTGGGTATCCGACTGGCAATATGCATGTGAGTAACTGGCGTCTCTGGCAAAATAACTTCCTGAAAGAAGAGATGTCTGTAAGAACCAAGCAAGCCAATGCGAGTTTGCTGCACAATCTTGAACATTTTAGACCACTCCCTTCCTTTTTGACGTGCCATTGCTCATGTAGCCAAAATAGCATCATCCACACCCAACAGGGAGTATCAACAGGCACATGGAAACCCTTGGTGTGGGGGAACCCTCCAAATAGCCCATTGAGGCTGTTCTGGATGCAGGGCGTGTGTTTTGCTCACTGTGATATTCTCTTGCCTTTGTGCTCACACAGCTGCATTCTCTGCCTACCTCCAATACCAGCCCATTTGGGGACTTGCACAGGGCAACCACAAAGGTGTGGAGAGTAGACTTCTGAAGAGGAGGGGCGGGGAATCAAGTGGATATAGGAGATCATTCAATCACAGATATTCAGTTGGCAGAAGAAGACTCACCAAGGTCCCCTAAGCCTTCCACGTTGCTGCGGACTTTCAACAAACACACTTTTTTGTACTTGATTGGTGTTGGAAAGGATTAAATTCTGCTGAGGACTTAATATGAGACTATAGACAGGGTATGGTATGGTATGGTCCTTGCAATTTGTGTGTGTGTTCATCTCAGGTTCATTGCACACTAGATGGAGAAAACATGCACATACATGCAGAGCTACGCACATTTCCTGCCCGCTCTGAATTGTTACCTTTTCCATAGAGAGTCCCATGGGTCCCACAGATTCTCCAGTCAAAGTTCTGCCCACAGATGTCATGCAAATGGCGTTTGCTGGTGCCATGGAACAATAACCTTTCGCCTACCTTGTCCCCACCATTCATCTTCTTCATCTGCTCTTTCTGCCTAGAAACAGAAGCATCTACTTTATAAAAAAATAAACACACAGTCTTAGTCAAACTCAATGCACGCAAGAATTAAAACTCCTTTCCCTGAACCAGCCCTCAGGCAATGCAATGAAAGGATCAGCAAGTCCATTTACACATTTGCCAGCATAATTTTATACACTTTTTTCTAGCAGAGTAGTCAAATAATTACTTTCCCAAGAACTACTAGCTTACCATATTGTAACTATGTATACTCTACATTAAAATCCAAATTCTACATCAAGCAAACCTTTAGGTCTTGGAGGATGGATGGCGGCTAACAGATTGAGGTTGAATCCTGACAAGACAGAAGTACTGTTTCTGGGGGACAGGGGGCGGGTGGGTGTGGAGGACTCTCTGGTCCTGAATGGGTAACTGTGCCCCTGAAGGACCAGGTGCGCAGCCTGGGAGTCATTTTGGACTCACAGCTGTCCATGGAGGCACAGGTCAAATCTGTGTCCAGGGCAGCTGTCTACCAGCTCCACCTGGTACACAGGCTGAGACCCTATCTGCCTGCCAGAGTGGTGCATGCTCTGGTTATCTCCCGCTTGGACTACTGCAATGCGCTCTACGTTGGGCTACCTTTGAAAGTGACCCGGAAACTACAACTAATCCTGAATGCGGCAGCTAGACTGGTGACTGGGAGCGGCCGCCAAGACCTCATAACACCGGTCCTACATTGGTTCCCAGTACATTCCTGGGCACAATTCAAAGTGTTGGTGCTGACCTTTAAAGCCCTAAATGGCCTCAGCCCAGTATACCTGAAGGAGTGTCCCCACCCCCATCGTTCAGCCCAGACACTGAGGTCTAGCATCAAGGGCCTTCTGGTAGTTCCCTCACTATGAGAAGTGAAGTTACTGGGAACCAGGCAGAGGGCCTTCTTGGTAGTGGCACCCGCCCTATGGAATGCCCTCCCATCAGATGTCAAAGAAACAAACAACTATCAGACTTTTACAAGACATCTGAAGGCAGCCCTGTTTAGGGAAGTTTTAAATGTTTGAAGTTTTATACTGTTTTTATTGTTCTGTTGGAAGCTGCCTAGAGTGGCTGGGGAAACCCAGACAGATGGGTGGGCTAATAATAATTTATTATGGGCACCTCCACTAGACAAGGGAATCATCAGACTGCTGTGGACTGAAGGCTTTGCCAAGATTGCACAGTCTCACCGTTGGAGTACAACTTACAGCTAGTTTTCATTGCTCATTCTATCTCCTATAGCTGAACTGGGTGGTGGTAGAGATTATGGTCACTAGGCAGCCACTGGTCAATTTCTGTTGGACCACTTAGTGCAAACTCCCCCAACCTAGTGCCCTCCAAACATTTTGGACTACAGCTTCCATCAGCCCCAGTCAACACGGCCACTGGTCAGGGAAGATGGGAGCTGTAGATTCAAACATCTGGAGAGGAATCAGGTTGAGGAAGACTGCTGTTTGCTGGGATTCTTGGAAAGAATGGTGGTCAGATTCTGTAAGAGATTACTTCAGAGGCAACCTACATGTGATACTAGTCACATATTTTAATAAATCCTCCAGAACAATTGTCCGGGAGTTCTCCCAACACCTGAAACCACAACCGCCAACCCATGTAGGGATGCTACTGGGCAGCAGGTTGGGTGGCCACTGTGTCCCAAACACTCATCCCAACACTGGCATGGATGGATATCCTGGTGAGTGAGATGGAATCCCATTGGATAATGGTACCCCATAATCCTCCAGTCTGTGCTGATGCTGCATTGAATGCCCAAGTGAATGCAGTCAACCTCTGTTTGACTGAAATACTACAAAGAAATATCAATGTGCTTCCCTCTAAATATAATCCATGGTCAGCTACATATTTGTGACACCAGGCCGCAAGACTTGAATTCCCACCAAATGATAGAAGAATAGCAGTCAAGTAAGAAGTCATAAGGGACGTGGGTGGCGCTGTGGGTTAAACCACAGAGCCTAGGACTTGCCGATCAGAAGGTCAGCGGTTCGAATCCCCACGACGGGGTGAGCTCCCGTTGCTCGGTCCCTGCTCCTGCCAACCTAGCAGTTCGAAAGCACGTCAGAGTGCAAGTAGATAAATAGGTACTGCTCCGGCGGGAAGGTAAACGGTGTTTCCGTGTGCTGCTCTGGTTCGCCAGAAGTGGCTTAGTCATGCTGGCCACATGACCCGGAAGCTGTACACTGGCTCCCTCAGCCAATAAAGCGAGATGAGCGCCGCAACCCCAGAGTCAGTCAGGAGTCCCTTTACCTTTTACCTTTAAGGAGTCATAGCCAATTATAGTAGTATCCCCCCTTCACCACAAAAAGAGACAAAGGAAACCATTTCTAGACTCTCATACCATGATTTCCCATCCCTTGGGGGAGAAGAAAATCAAATACGAACCACTGAAAAACTTGCCAAAGAGACGGGTTCTGAATCCTTTGGAGTCGGTGGATAACATAACCCTCCATGGTCTTCTGAAAGAGTTCCTTAATTTCATTGTATTCTTCAGCAGAATCAGAGATCTCCACCAGCTAGGCACAAATCATAGTGAAATGAACCATTCCATATTTGTTTTCAGCCTATACATTTATATTCTCACATTTATACATCACTCTTCTGAAACTACACAAACCCTGTTTTATGTTTAACATTGCTTCGCACCGATTGAAATTGTTCATTTTCATGTTTTATGTTTTTCTTTAAAAATGTGTTTCTTTAGAATGTTGACTTTACCACTAGCCCATAGTACAGTGGTGCCCCGCAAGACGAATGCCTCGCAAGACGAAAAACTCGCTGGACGAAAGAGTTTTCCGTTTTTTGAGTCATTCCGCAAGACGAATTTCCCAATGGGCTTGCTTCGCAAGACGAAACGTCTTGCGAGTTCTTGCGAGTTTGTTTCCTTTTTCTTAAAGCCACTAAGCCGTTAATAGCCGCTAAGCCGCTAAGCCGTTAAGCCGCTAATAGCCGTGCTTCGCAAGACGAAAAAACCGCAAGACGAAGAGACTCGAGGAACGGATTAATTTCGTCTTGCGA